ATCAAGTATTTTTATTAACGTATCGTTGTTTTTCACATTCAATATAATAAGCTTTGGATTTTAGGTATGTATTTCTCCATAGCTATAGTCTATGGGAATATACGATTTTACTTTTTAGCAATGTTCTAAAATGCGTTTTTTAAACGGTGTTTATGTATTACTACACGTCTATACGGCGACGGGAGATCGATAGTTTATGGTAATTATCTCCTAAGTTAGAATTATGATGTAGTTAGGGTACTTTAAACAAGTGGTCCACAGAAAACTAAACCAAATCATTTAGTTTTTTTTTTGTATCGAGTGTAGTTACTGAAGATTGCTATGTACTATATTCGCTACTACAATTTTCAGATTTATTTGGTTATGCAAAAAAGAAAAGAAAAATATAAGTGTCTATAGAGTATAATGTGCTATATTTAATTGCATTGTTCTCAAACATTGTCCACTGTTAGAACTTATTAGTCGTTGTTGAAAGCATAGTTTGGTTGATTGAGACAAACAATTAATGAATAATGCCATATTGTGATCTACACGTTTTTGATTTTTCAAACATACACGACAAAAATATGGATATTAGAGATGGCCCAAGTTTGTGTCTTTATGAACCTTTTCGCTACAACTTGCATATATATAAAATTGCTTTTAGTCGTATAAAATTTTACGCATGCTATCGAATTTAAATCTAAATTATGCACTAGCTACTTTGTGTTTTCGAGCATCTACATTATTTGGACCCTCAACTATACAGATTAACATATGTAGGTTCAATTCACCATTCAACAATTTAACGACACCATACCGATTATTCTACATCAGCAGTTGAATGTAAAATTGTTTACAAATCAAATCCTTTTGTACAATGAATATTTATTTTATATATGCTGAAAATCAAAAACCAGAAATCATCCTAAGAACAGAATTTCAAAACCAGAGCATATAGTAAGCCCCGTCATAACGTAGAGTGACTCAAATGCGAGTTGGTAAGCCACACTGCCATGGATTCGGAGTAACCATGATCCCCCACAGCACGGTTTTGTATGTTCTTATCAATTTGATTGATTAGGATCCTCGATGACAAAGTAGCTTACTCATGACAATTTAACTAAAAAGAATAGGAATTGCCACGATACTTTTATTAACTATTTTTAATTTGGAATCAAAAGAATGGACGAATTGTTTATTGTACAATTTTCAAATACGATTGTGTCGTCCATATGAAAAATTAAGAATTTCACTTACAACCTTTAATTAGAAGATCGATCACCATACGCTGTACTGAAACATTGTGCTTTCTGCGTCGTAGCTAGAATCTGCATTGTTATACGTTCCAAGCAGAGCCTGGCCGTACGAGTTAACGCCACTAATAGCGTTTCCAATCGTTATGTGAAAAGCGTCTCTAGGCGTTCCATTGTTGTTGTCCGTTTGGCTCCAAGGAAACGCTGTTAGCCTCGAACGCTGCTCTGGGATTATGATAGAGCTCTTATTGGTCTCCAAAGATGCTTCATCTTCAAGATTCACGGTGGTTATATCGTGAATGCTTGCTCGTCTCTTATCTTTACCTCCGGAAAGTTGCCGGATAAAGTATTTTTGGGCGTGGCTAGCGACTTGTGTTGGCGTTCGTGTTATCACAAAGTTGCGCGATATGTTCCTCCAATCTCCTTTGCCGTATTTCTTCAAACCCATTAGAAATAACCTGATTGTGACAAACATATCAAAATGTGGAAATTGAAGTCTAAACCAAATTTTTATTAAAAAAAAAAAAAAGTTTTTTAAGCCAAATAAATAGTTCACTTTAGGTTTCATAATGGTGATTATGGGTTATGTATGTGATTAGGCAAGATTGTACTACATAATTTTGCATAATTGTAATTATGTTTAACCATATTCCGATGATACTGTATTTCTTCAAGCCCTCGGCCTGATTGTGACAATATCGAATCAAAGACATTTTCATAAAGCTATACAATGCACAATAATTAGTAATGTAAATACTGTATTGGATATTTTTCCCAAATCAATTGTTCAATTTAGGTTCCTCAATAATTCTGTATAAAAATCATGATTTAACTATTTTACGATTTTGCATGATTAGCGTCCAATATTTTTAATCAAATTCTTTCTTGTAGTAATTATCACCATATGGCAAATACAATTATCTAATTCCGGTTTAATCTCAAACTTCTAGTAAACCGGAAAAAATAAAGAACAGAGAGACTTACTTGTGTTCTTCCTCCGTCCAAGGAACACCTTTCTTCCGCTCAAGCTCCGGCGATCTACCCGACGGAGACCGTTTGTTACCAACCGGGTGACCCGGTTTGAATCCGTTTCCGGTCCAGTCCAGAGGGAAAGGCGAGGTGATGTAACCGGGGACCGGTATCAAACCGGCCTCGATGCTGCTGACGTCAGCTTCCAGGTCGTTGTACTGTCTGATAACGTCACTCACCGTCTTCCCCGGAATCACCGCGGCTACTTTCTGCCACCGATCAGGAGTGCTGTCGTCGTAAACCGCCAGAGCATTCTCGAACGCTTTGTTCTCCGCCGCAGTCCACGTGGCACCTTCGCCGGTAGCTTCGACAAGGACGTTGCTCTTCGTCTCTTCCATTAGCCAGTTCTTCCCACCGGAGGAGACATGCGAAGTCGTCGGTCTCAGAATCTCCATGTCCGAAAAAAAAAAAAAACTAAAGCTCTGTTTTTTTGTTTTTTTTACGATTTGTAAGTACAAATCATACCGACAGATTTTTAACGGATTTACGAGTTTGGAATCAATAAAAAAATTTGGGATCTTAATTATTGAAAAGATAAGAGAATCAGAGGAAGAAGAGAGAAATCACTGTCAAATGATACTAATTGGTTTTTATTTTGATTAGAGAAATCATCTTGGAACATTGCTTATTTAGAAGAGTTAGACCCACTTCAAGGAATCTGAAAAAGTTTCAACCCTTTTGAAAAAAGAATCCAGAGTAAAATCTAGGGAAGATCTGGGTACTGAATAAATACTCAAAAAGAGAGAATTTTTTTTTGTTGCTATGAAGAAGAAAGAAAACAAATCTACTGGTTATCCAGATTTGGTGGAACTAAAAGTACGAGTGGTTTTTTAAGTATCAGAGAGACTCTTCTTCAGAGTTAGAGATTTTAAAAGATCTGGGTGTGGATAAAATTTTCTCGGGAAAATAAACATTTGGGCTATACAGAAAAAAAAATGGAAAATATTAATATTGAAGAAGCTACCTTGGAGCTTACCCAATTAGGAAAACTAGAACGTGCACGAAGAAGCAAATGAATCCATAATGGGAAAGAAAAAACTCAAATCAGAAACCAAAGTCTTAATCTTTCCCGAGTTTTTTTTTTTTTTTTAAAGAAAGCAGAGAAAGGAGACGATGATTCAGAGCTCTTAAGCATCTTTATTGGTGAATTTCGGTGGGTATCATTAAATATAAAATTATTAAAATTTGAGTAAAAGTAAGAAAGAGAATGTTTTCGGTTGAAATAATAGGGTGTATTGAAATATAAAATTAATAAAATTTGAGTAAAAAGAAGAGATAGTGGGTATTTTTGGAGAGAGAGAGTATCAAAAGTATCAAATAGTTGATACTTTTGAAGAGAGAAAGAGTATGTTTTTAATAATTTTATATTTAAAGAGAGTATAAAATTAATAAAAATTAAGTAAAATGATGAAAGAGAAAGTATAAAGTTAAGTAAAAAAAAAAAGAGTGTATTTTTAATAATTTTATATTTAATGATACCTTTAAAAGTTCATGAATAAAGATGACCTTATAGTTCTGTTCTTGCAAAATTAAATTTCGGTGATGCTGTTTATTACGGAAAATAAAAAGATTAGATTCTCAGTTCTTACTCCTTTTTACTTTTTGTTGTGTCACCTTATAGTACCTTACCTAGTTACATCCTTGCTTAATAGTAAGAGCATAAGCATCCATGATACAAAGAGAGTATCACTTGAATAAACAAATATTAAAAACACACTCTCTCTTCCTTTTACTCAACTTTATACTTTCTTTTTCATCTTTTTACTCAATTTTTATTAATTTTATACTCTCTTTAAATATAAAATTATTAAAAACATTTGATACACTCTCTCTTTCTCTCTTTAAAAATATCAAAAGTATCAATTATTTGATACCCTCTCTCCAAAAATATCAACTATCTATTCTCTTTACTCAAATTTTATTAATTTTATATTTNAATANACNNCANTATTTNAACNAAAAACACTCTCTTTCTTNNTTTNACNCAAATTTTAATAATTTTATATTTAATGATACCCACATTGTATCACCAATACGGATGCTCTAACTCTTTCTAATTTGGGTAAATTCGATGAAAGTTTATTAATTATATCAGTTCGAATAGGTGATTATAAACATTTGTAGCTAACAAAAAGTTACATTAAACTGTGAATGTTATTTCTTATAATTCTCAACAATATGCAATATGTAAGTTTAAATTTGGATGATGACGCAACAACAATAGTGATACAAATGTTAATTAAGTTGGAGACTGTTACACAATTTACATGTTCATGATACAAGTATAAATGGCATAACAGCTGGCACTTTAGAATTCGAACAAATGTAATGCGATTAAACTGACAATAATATGAAGTATCTATATCTTGTAATAAATTTGTAAATATTGCAGTGTAAAGTTTGCTTTGGTCATACAGAAATAAACGAAAAATATGAATTTTAAACTTCTGAGAAAGAAGAAAATTTCCGTGACTGCTATGATTACAAAATAATTAATAATGATAGTGCATGAACACTGATATATTGTGATTTGTGAAATAAATAATTATCGTTGAAAGAAGAAATAATGATTTCATCTATTTTTAATTTAGAATATGCGAAGTTGACATTTTCTGGGAGTATACAAATGCCTCAATGAACAATAACATTTTCAACATTCTAATTAAAAATAAAGCTATATAATATACAGAAACAATACGTTGGTGGTGATACTGTTGTTTACAAAATACTTTAACTAGATAATTAACCCGCACCGTGTGCGGGTATGAAACGTTTTAGAGAAATAGATAAATTTTGGAATCTAAATAACACGATTTATTGTTTATAAAAATAAACATGAATGATTGTTTTTTTAAACATTACATGCATATTTTAAA